GTCTGCTGCGGTCAGTGCGGCAGTATGAAACAACCCTAAGCGAATGGTAACATTGTTCACAATCCGGCGACGGTCACGGTACTTTCTCACGCTTGCCGCAACCGCCTCCGGACCTCTCCTCGCCTTAGCGGGTTCCCAGCCAAAAGGCTATATATGGCTATATATACGCCTCATTGCAACTTCTGTTCACTTTCGTTCTTGATCGTTAATCTATTCTAATGTTTTCTAACGTGCTCGTGCACGGCAGTTTAGCTCCCGCCTGTGATGTCACTTTCGCAGTATTCGAGAGTAATGGGATTCGTGCTAGATTAGAGGATTTGGCGCGTGTATTATTTTAAAATTTTAGTATTATTTTAGTATAGTGTCCATTTCTTTTTGTGTCATAAGGTAGAGTCTAAGTAATTCAACATTGTTTCTTCACGCGCTAGTAGATGCGTCGCAAGCGTCAGATGCACGAGCGCACTAGATATCGCGGGTGTCATCCAGGTGCAAACTAACCATCGTTGATTCTAGGGTACTAATCCTTTTTTGCAAAACAGCAAGAGAATCCACCGCCTCTTGCAACTGCAGCGATAGCTCTGATTTCTGAAATAGAGAGTTGTGGAGCAATTATTTTTCCAAAATCTTATCAGACGCCGTTCAGTAGGAAAGCTTAGTTCAATGCAATTTTTCAAAAACTTACCTCCCTGTTGAGTTCATCTATTCTGTCATTATAATCCGATCGCTCCTTATCAAAATCCCTAATAGAATTGGCTGATTTTTCCAGCTCCTGTAGTTGCGAAGTGATTCTGAAGGTTGCAAAACAACTAGGTTTAGATGCGCATGTGCTATGACACCCCTTTATTAAAAAAATCATTTGTTTGGTAAAAAACTCAACAACATGACAAAAGAATTTTCTTCCCATTAAGTCCCATTTTAACAAAACGCATCAAGCTGGTTTTCTCAGTCCTAACGTACCGTTTCTTCTCTTCATCCCAAGCGCTTTTCTCTTGCTGTAATTGTTCCACCTCTCTAGTCAACGTGTTTACTTTCTCACCGTACTGCTCTTTCCCCTCCGACAGATTTTTGATCTAAACGTCCACGGATTCTTTATGGAGGACTTGTAGTATGGTCTTGTAGCGGTATTCAACCAAACCTTTGCGAGAAGTTCGCCTTCTTGTAGCTCGAGTGTTTCAACCCTTATTTCTGCTTCAGCTTTCTCTTCCTTCAATTCCTCAATCTGAGTTTTATACCTAAAAAGTGGTCATTCTAAAGGCAACTAAAACATGTGTAATAAATGAGGTTACTTTGTTTTTTCAAGCGACATATCCAACTTTTCCGCTTCAAACTGATCGATTTTGCATTTTAGGTTGT